AAAAAAAAAACCGTCCCAGCATCATTTACCGCAAGCGCCACATCCAGATGTGCCAAAAAACCTCGGACAAAGGAGCAGGAGGGTCAAGCATCTGCCAAAAGATGATTAGGGCCCGATTTGAATGGAAAAAGCGATTGCAATGCGAAAAATGCGATTCTGGGTGGAAAAATTCTGGCTGTGTTGCTGCACTGTTACATGAAAAAATCTCCAGTACAAGTTTATCGGTACATCAAAAAAAAGAATAATTCGTGAAACGATGTACATTATAAAGCATTCAGATGATACAAAAAATGCGCTGGACGATGGAATCTCAGAGTGGAAAAACCGGGCTGATGTATGGAAAGTAAGTTTTGTATAAAAGAGCCAAGTGGCCCAAAATCTGCATCCCAAAGCTATCCGTTGAGCTGTTATTAAATGATTGTAACGAAGGCTTTAAGCTTGCATATTCATATCCGGGATGCTTAGGACCAGCAGCTCGCGCATTTATTACAGCTGCACAGGCTAAAAAAACCAGCCGGATAATCGATGTGAGGATCCCATGTTACTGATATCACAGCATTACTGCCCGCTCGCATTTTTCCCCCATCTCCCTCGCTTTTCGTTATTTATAGGATTATTGTTTCATTTTAATTACTGGTTTATAATGGAAGATATTAGTACAATAAATGCGAAGCATACTGATAAAGAAAAAAATTTGTTTGAAATTGAGATCAAAAATTCTCAAAGCCAAAGAAAAGTAGCAATTATTGTAAAATTGCTGGGTATTGTTCCTCAGAAGTCATAATTTAGTCACATTTTACCAACTCCAGCATATGATGCCTTTTGGCCCCACCGATGGAGCCATTCGTTCAAAAAAACACTTCCCCAAATCAATGGGGAGCCCCATCTACAAGAATTTATAGTTTATCCCATTAGTATACTGATTAAATGCATTATGACCAACGTTTACGTTTTCGAAACTTTTTTTTTTTTGAAATAAACCAATGTTGCCCAAATTTATATCACTTTAAAACGCTTGAGAGGGGAAGAAGTAGGATATCTAAATCGAATTTCAAAGCATTAATATCAGAAGATTTCCAATTTTTCTCGCACATATGAAGTACAAAAAAAAAGAAAAAAACAAAATAGAACAAAATCCCTACACCAAATAGGTGTGGTCATACAAGAAAAATGGTTCAATACAAAAAAAAAATTTTTAAAATGTCGTTTCAAAAGTGAATAAAATGAAAAAATCCTGAACACATTAGGCTTTTGCAGTCTTCTTGGTAGTACTTTTTCTAGCCCTTTTTCTCACGGCGCCAGCATTAAAGCCTGTAGACATTCGCATCACGCTCGGGATCTTCTCGGTTTTCGTTGCTGCCCTCTTCTTTGTCGCAGTCGACTGAAATTTTTTTTTTTTTTAACATATCCAGAAGCTTCATTTTCTTTATTCCAGTAAACTCAGCTCAAATTTCGATCCCTCAAAACGGGTGTTTCTCTACGATTTCAAAGTAGGCATGTAGAAAAATGGAATATATCACTTTCATCTGAACTTTTTTGAAAACACTTATAATGACAATGGCATCAGTAATATTTATTACTCTTGCTGTTATTACTGCAAAATCAAAATAAATAACGGTCCTCACCAGGTAGTCGGTTTGCATTTCTGTCTAGCAGAGCCATTTTGATACTTAGACCTACGCAGAAGGTGAATTTATGTCTTCGAGGTCGAATAATAGCAGAATTCTCTTCAAAATTTCAGCTTCGTAACTCTCCTGGTTGCCGAATTGAAATACCAGGACAAAAAACTGGAGCGCACATACAAGATCTCGTTTTATACCTCAGTTGCAGCGCAAGAGCAACTAGTCCCTCCGAATTCGATTTTAAAACCCCACTTCATATTAACTGTACAATAAACTGGAAAAATGTTGCT